CCTATACACTAAGTATCAAAGCATTCAGGCTTGTAGTTTTTAAGAAGAAGTCGAAAAAGTAAAACATTGACACGGACAACGACAGACAATCACTCATATGATAAGCTCCGCTCGACAAAGTCGACAGCGGAGCTAAATATAAGGAAATAACAATGTCTTATGTCATATGGATACATTGAAAGTGTATGAAGAAATAGGTTTCGTTATCACAAAGCCACGAATTCTAAAAAGTTTGGCTTTATAATCAATTTTCTGACCGCATTATTATGTTAACATATATGTCATGGCAGAAACATATAAACGCATATTACGATTGAGGAATGGGCATGTTCTGTAAAATGAAAACATTACGGCGGATCTGTTTACAAACGTCGTCTAGGGAAATTTACAAGTACAAGAACACATAACAAATGACTGAAAACAATCAACAAAACAAGTACAACACAGGCCAACACATCATAGTCTAATCAGTAAAAAAAAGATATATGAACTTCATGATATTTATCAAGTAAAAGCACACTATAGCGTGAAATCATGGATGGATGGATCTAGAGTACAAATAATCAAAAATACCATTTTACTCTCATCGATTCGGAAGTGTCGCATTTTTGTTATAAGCAGAGCGATTTTTAAGAAAATCACTGAGCTTAAAGTCGATATATTCAGCTTTCTAACAATATCTTACTTATCGTGCTACACCGTCTACATGGGAAGATATAGCACTATGAATAATAAAAACTCGCTCTGATCACCCATTTTTCCCTCGCTAACAACGAGGAAAAATGATGTGTGGAGATTCTAAAAATACGGCTGGCACAAATCAAGCGCACTTTTTAGCACACAAGAACTAGATTTCATTATACATCATATATGGCAGAAAATTTCAAATTTTCATAGACTACAGTGTTAAAAATAACAGTTTTGCTGGAAATACGTAATTCTATAGTCGACATTTAAAAATTGTCACATGACCTATGTTTAATAAGCGCCCTCTGTGACAGTGGGTTGTGTTTCAGCTGACTGACCAAATTATTGTGCTACACAATAGCCTCGAGTACCCTGATAGGAACTTATAAATTAGCCTTACTTATACTCACCGAAGTCAATTTGGAGATACAGTACCATAAAAAGTTTAATAAAATTGACTGATTACAGAAATGTGCTGTTTTTGTTCTCCACCCACCTCAGATTTTTTTACTTTAAACAATGGGCTCCGATAGACTAAATTGCTTTTCTAACAAATGAGGCACCTGCATGTATGGCATCTAATGTTTTTGTAAACACTGATTTTTACTCAATAAATTCAACCATGTTGAAGAGTGTGACAAGTGCATTTTTTTAAGTTGTCTTATTGGTGTTGGTATAGGATAAGAGTGCATTGTAATATGATCTCAGCAATAAAAACAGTGCATACCAATTACTTTCTAGATTAAACTTCACATGGAAACAAATATTGTACGATATTAACTATTTATCAATAAAATAACATTCAATAACTTTCAACAATCCTCTTTGATTGCGTTGAATGCAAAACGGCAAAAATGACAACAGATATTACAAATTAGTAAACTAGGGGTAGGTATGCAAGACTGAATGTTGACAATTTACCCTATATTTTATTTACATGCTGTACCTTATACCTGCCCCTAAACCTAATACCAAAATTATCAAGAAGTAACATCATATTTTGTTTATGTGTGCGCACCAAAATATGTGGCCCTGTTGAATCACAGTAATCCTGTATTTACTAGTTCACTAATAACTGGAATTTCAGGGCATTTTCTTCATGTTTAGGCAACCTAGTTGTAGGTTTTTTTTTTTTTTTCAAATTAAAAAGGTCATTGTGAGGTTTAGTACCTCAAGAAAGTATTCGGTAATAATAATAATCTTTATTGCATAATCGTATCCTTATTTGGGTATTGACTCAGAAAAATAAAATGTACAATTTATGTATTACAAAAAATTTTACACACCCATATTCTACATCAGCATCGTCTTATCTGTACATTTTTATCTTTCTTGAACGTGGCAGTGGTAATATCTTTTTCCTGTAACACTTTTCATGCACATTTTTTTCTCTGTATCTAACTTGTATTGTAATTTTTTAAAACAAATCTTCCACCCTCCACCATTCAAACGGTAGATCCCTAAAGAACTCTTTCCACCAAATTTTTTAAATAATTCATAATCAGTGCACAACGTTACGGGTTTCTTCCAGTAAAAAGAACCGCAACGTTGCAGAATTGAATACCATATTGTGGTGTAAATTTCAGTTTAAACGACGTGACATAAAACTACAACCATGACTGGCATAATTGGCTTTTGTGAACTCAAGGACAAAGCCGACTCACGTCCTCCACCGACCCGGTGGTGCGATCCTTCCAACAGAAGTGAACCAGGGAGTCGTCCGACTGGTGAATATACAACAATCCTTTACGCTTGTCAGGGGTAACTGTTGTTCCCTTCAAGTACATTTTCCCGGCACGAAATTCAACCAAATTCTTGCTTCCAGATCTACCGCCAGTGGCAGCAGAACCAAATAAAGCACCGGACGCCATTTTTTCGATACTGATGAAGAAAATAATGTTATATTTTCAGTTCACGCGAACGTGGAGCACACTGTTTTCCCTGTTTGCAGAAAAAAGAACTATCCATATATTTTGATTAATATTTAAATTTATTTTAATACAAATACATGTATTTTGTTGACATAACAATTAATATTCCTTGAATGCGTGACTACAAATACAATGTTACATTTCGTACATAGTTACTTGCGCGTTTTATTCATCGTCGTAAACTACGCCCTCTTTCGGCAACTGATGCTTTTTTTTGAGTGGGGGGGGGAATACTCTGGCGGGCGAGAATGGTTTTATTCGGCTCAAAATAACGAGATGCTGAATTGTTCGAGTTACGGACATCAAGTTACGAACACATCGCCTATATTTCAGAAACCACGCTCACTTTTGCGACACCAGGCCCAAATTGTAACTCGGTGTTCTACCAGTTAACATAACTTCGAGTTACGCACAACATAGATTTAACTATTAATTTAAGTTCGAGTTACTAAATATGGACGTTCAACAAAAATAAAGTTGCCCGTTCTGTTAACTGGTAATTGAACACAAGTTACAAGTTGGCCGTGGTTTCGCGAAAGTGGGCGTGGTTCCTGTAATATGGGCGTGGTCATTTCTGTAACTCGATGTTCGTAACTTGATCAATTCAGCATCTCCAAAATAATAACATTATCAATGTGTGAACAACAACCATACTATAACACGACAAAACAATTCAACTAATTTGCCAGATAATTAAAAATAACAGCAGCCAGTACAATCCTTATTTGTTAATTTACTCTCTGTTCTTGGTAATCTGGAACTTGTGATATTCCCGTCATTTGTATTCAGTACGAATGTTGATTTCATTTAGATATGACGTTGTCCCCAATCGATCTAAGTGGGACCAATCTTTTTGAAAATAATAACCATGGACTGATTATACTTACGCTTTAATTAAATTATTGATTGCTTTTATTTTTCAAATACAAATACATCGTGTTAGGAGTTATTTATTTTTCTGTCGTTCATCAAACGTGTGCAGAGTTACCTTCGTTCACCAACTGGCACACCGCAAACACCCCTAGTAGGAATTACTGACATTGTTAGAGGGCGCGATTTTTAGGTAAGGCGTATTTCCGTCTCACTTTCAATAGACAAATCCATATTTCCATAATCAACCAACCAAACATCTGCTACTTCGTACCCCGATCTGATTGAAATAAGATTCTAGTTTGATCTTTTTCATTGTTTTTATGTACTTAATTATTAATTTTTCATATATTTTATATTTGGCGCTTAGAATCTGTCAGAAGCTGGACAAATGCTAATGTTTGTACGAATGTCTATGGTCTACGTTAAACTATCCAGCATCTACAAATAAGAACATACTAATTTAAAAACGTATTTATGTACGTGATAAATTCAACAAGTACGTAACTTCGTACGTAGTGTGGACATGAGGGTGTTGATAATCCCGTATCTGTTAATCTTGTTTTAATGAATTGTTGTATTAATATGACAACCGATTATTACGTGTGGACACGCCAGTAAAGTGTCAATAGTGCATAGTTTATGTAGGACAAGGTCAAGATTTCCGGCAATGACGTGACAGATTAGACAACTTTGTAACATATTACTTAAAGTATAGTATAGATTGTCAAATATACCACCAATCTATTTTCATAAGACAGTGTAATAATCTTGTCTTCCTCAAGTTTGGTAAGCTGTGAATTAACACAAATGATCGCCAAAAGCCAATGAGAGACTCATTTTGATAAAACGGTTGTTGCACTTCAAATTCCCCCTTTAACTATACATCGAATGGTCATTCCATATATATGTATTATTGCACGTGAACGTTTTACGACGCCATTTATTACAATTAATCTTGACGCCAAACTTGAACAGCTCATTGATAGCTTTGGTAAGTGAGTGAATTCAAATGTATGAACATAGCAGCTTTGACGTCAAATCAAATCTGATTATGTATAACAGCTGCAAAGCATATAAATGAACACTTACTTCTCAGCTACATTGAGTCACGGGGAGGGCATGCCGGCACACTACATCAAGTTCAAGTAGTATCAACAATATTGCTGATCTGTGGTGAGTTTGTTTTCTTAAATTTGATGATGCATTGATGATGTTTTTTTTATTTGTATCGATCCAGAGTCTAATTATATTATATCTCTGCTTCGCTGTTTGGCTTCCGCTCCGTGATCGCCCAGAAACCCAAGAATGACAGTTATCAACGGAATTCAGCAATTTACCATTCCCACCAACCCAAACCAAACTAGTATAACAGAAAAGTATTGACATTATCTGTCACTAGAATTATTTTACCATTTCTTGTATTTATTTTTTGGTCAGCCTACCAGTTATTTTCCATTTTAGACGCGTCGCAAATGTTAAAATGGAAAAAACAAAAACTAGATCACTCCATAGAGATTTTAACAATCAGTGTCACCGTCAGTCATTATGGTTGCATAGTTATGATTGCAAACGTCAATTCTGTAACGTTGCTCTTTAACCAGATCTTGTGATCAGCTCGCGGAATATGGGTGTAAAATTTAAAAGCGATGAATATTTCTTTCTTGAGATATATTACGAACCCTTATAAAGGCACATTGAGATTTTGATTTTCTGCCCCTGGTCTTGAAAATATAAATGAAATCAAAACCATAATTCAGAGTGCTTTCATGTTTGTTGTGTATATGTTTATTGTGATATCTAATATTATTGTTATGTTATGTTATGTACGACATCATCTAAATGACTGACCAGACAGTTATTGTATCATATAATATAACATGTAGTACCGATCGGGTGTAGGTAATTTGTGTAACTGCCTGTATAAAAAAAATATTTGACCATAACCTGAACATTTTAGTAAACATTATTTCATCGCTTATATAAGGTAGCGTATTTTGGAGATTTATTTATTAATAAATGTATATAAACAGTCCATACGTCGCATATGATACTCACATGTTATTGCAGTAAGATGTCATCTACTGTGGTGCTGTGACAAGTCATTAGCTTATTACACCAATCTATGTCACCGTTAAATATCAGAGATAGAAAACAGGCATATCAATATGCTCTCAACACATCTCTGTTTTTTTTAAGGAATTATTTTTAGATGTGCGCTGAGTTTAAGTTGGAGAATGAAAGATCTTCAACTTTGAGAAAGTTAGTGTTATAACACTAACACACCAGTATACAACTGGGACACAAAAAAGATCAAAACTAGAAGATTATTTGCATTAAATCCATTATGCGACATAACATATTCCCGCCATATGAATACGGATAAAATTTAAATGTCACCGACTGAAATGATGAAAATATACCACCAAAATAAAACAAAACAAAACAACAACAACAAAAAACCGCGGCTTTAATTAACTTGTTACATTTCCGTTTATAGTTTTTATATTCATTATCAAAACCTATTGGATGAGGCAAGATTGTTTCAATCATTTGCTGGTATAGTTTAGTTCTGCGCTTCTCTAGCCTAAGATAGATCGGTGTGATAAGCAGGGTAATAATATTCGATATTTCCATACTATGTAATACTATGTAAATCCTAGTAATCTGATTTGTCCATGTAAGCAGATGAAACTTTGACGTCATGAGACTATCAGGGGGAAATCCTTTTCCTCGGGGGTTCTCCACACTTGTCAGGGGGAAAACTCGTCTCGTCTCTCTATCTCGTCCCCTTGAGGTACGGGATCGGGAAAGTCACTTTAACTTTACTGTCAAATAAGGCACACACAACGAAATACGTTTCAACTCTCGTCTTAGTCGATCTTTTGGAGCACTCTATAAGACACAGCGCCCTGGGGAAAAAGTCTCCAAGACTCTCACAAGGCTGACCCAAGGCTAGCCCAAGACTGGACTGCCTCAAGGCTCGCCCCTGGACTGGACTCTCGACTGCGTCTGTCGTGGAGTATTCGCCAAGACCAACTCAAACTCTCTTTATTCATTTTCAAAACTCTAACTAATTACAAAGCAGTAAAAAGACTCTAGGGCGTAACCTTCAATCATAAAGCCAATCACACTAAGTACTGAATACGTCATATCTTTTGATTAATCGTTCACTACATTAATAACTACGGATGTCAGAATAGCGACGGTATCTTGTAATTAGTTTCAAATCACTGAGCCAAGTTCCGTCCAAAACTTCAAATAGGCCTACACGATGACAGACATAACACAGCAATTCGCTAATAATCAGTTAATTAAGTCGGTTAACAGATACGCAAAAACAAATTCATGACAAGACCATTGCAGACAATCTTTCAAAATATGCCATTTCAATCTGTTGTAGGTTTGATTGATTGGGAACTATAGTAATTTGAATAGTTCTGATAGCGGCAATAGTTGTAACCATCGATATCTTTTGTTCGATTTTTATTTTTAATAAAACTTGTACATTAAACAAAGTGAAAAAAGTTGGTCCACGTCCCAAGAAGGGCGCTATCTATTGAAATCAAGTTTTGACAAGCGAACCCCAGAGATTACAATACAAACCTCGAAGATTACAGTACTAGAGGACAATTTACCATGGGCCCTGGGAGAGATGGCAAATACGTTGCCATTTTGAGAGGCCAAACATTTCACTGATGATGTTATGTGCTATTTTCCACGATAGTTTGCGTCGTGCATCACATTTTTACGGTTCCTATCAATGACTAATTTCAACGAAATGGCGACTACTCGACTCTTAGTTTTCTTGTCGCATGTGACATTAGCCTTGTTCAGGGTCATTTTATCCATGCAATTGTGTCTAAATAAACAATATTTTGTTAAGATTTGGTCATCTTTATGTTGTTATATTTAAACAAATGTCGCATTGAAATTTTAAAGATAGAAATATACCCAACCTCGTTTATTAGTTTTAACTAAGTCACTGGCCATTTATTGCGGTTTGTGTAATAGAGTGAAGTTATTCACATTGATGGATCTAAAAATAAACGGTAAAAATGAATAAATGAGAGAAATGCTCTACGAAGTCTTGAATACTCCTTTATAATTGTGTTTATTTTATTTTTAGACACAGAAAGATGAATGCATTCTACTTGATATTATTAACAATAATTTTATCTGAAACATATGCTGATCGTTTAGAATACGGCAAGGTAATTATGTTAACCATGTCTCTCTTTTCCTCTTGACAAACAAGTTTATGAAATAACATAACTGATTATAAATTAGATTCAACTTATCATTGAAATACTCAATAAAATATAATTAATGGAAACCGTATAATCAAGATATTCTGAATGCCAGAATGTCGATTCTCAATCACTATTGAAACTTATTAATTTAAACATATAAACAAAGCTGCGGATGACCGATTACGTTTTTTAAAAACCTCAGAAAACGATAGATATTTTGCCAAAGATCGCAGAGATTTGCTTTGGATGATGTCCGGGCATAGGGGTTTCGCTATTGGGGTTCGCAGGTACATGCAGGCTCTAATAACCAGTTAATTACCCCGAAATGTGTTGCCATAATTCATTCAGGTTCAAAAGATGGTTGGTCTGTAAGTGTGCCCAGGTTGTAATATTAAATATAAAACTAATTATTGAGTGTCCTAAACTCATAACAATAGACGATTTTATCAACTTTAGTTATAGGCTATCGGGCCAGGGTATCATTGTGACTGTGGCTTCATTATAACATAGGTAGACATGGTTTATATGGGGGTTTACTTGTTTTAGGTCCAATCCCATAGTATCCATGAATACATCATCGAACTGCAAACACCCTCGATTTTTGTCCATGGGTTTGGGATAGAGGAAAAATGATCTTCAGTGGCATATTTACAGATCTTGTATTGGTTGATCCAACAGTGATGGGATGAATTACCAAAGAGTCCTGATAAAATTGTCAATACAAATTAGCTACACTGGGTCTGGAATAATGTGGCAAATGGTGCTAGAGCTTCATGGTCATCCTCATGCCTTAGACTTCTATACAAGGGCTCATTTGATTTGGAAAAATTATGCTCACAAGGTCACTAAGTGGAGATAATTCATAGCAAAACAGAGAGTGATCAAGACATTGTTTCAGGCAATTCAATGGGTCCCATGGCTTTGGTTGGATGAGACAGCACCATGCCAATTATGTTAAGCTTGCGGATAAAGTAAATGTGAGATATGTCTTACATCTGCCTTGACGCAAGGACAGTCAACTGTCTGGTATAGATTTCAGGCTCTGTCCTGTTGATGGCATAGTTTATGGTGGAATGTCCTAAATAAGCAGCAAAAGATTAAATTAATTTAGCGACAATGCATTGTAAATCTTGCTGTGGGAAGGCTGAGAACTCGGTATTGTAGATGGTGGTTTGGCGGGATTACTAGGCTATTCAATACTGATTGCTGGCGGAGTAGTTAGGTAGTGTGAATTGATGGTGATATAGTTGGAAGAGTTTTCTCTTATTATCGTCTTCTATGATCATTCTGTTTTTGATGTAATTTTGCCAATCAAAATGTTCTACAATTGACCCTGCCACTGAACTGAAGAAATGCAAGTAATATGGCACACCTTGAATAAAAAAATGAATCGGATCTGGCAATAAAATTGCACATTGACTGGTAGCCGGGTTATCCCTAGTTACCTGCATATAGCGGGACATCAAAGAATTTCTATTATTATTCTATTACGGTATATGCAAGATATGTGTCAAGTCCAGCGATTTGTCCAGGTACTGTAATAAATAACTAGTGACAGCTGATTCCAATTCTTGGCACATGTTACTACATATAATATTGAAGATTTCAAATAAGTTTAACAGTTTTAGATGTTAAATATGTGTTTTGAAATGGCGGATGATACAAAGTACTCAAGTCAAATTATCATTATAACATGGATGAATCGTTTTTATTTTCGGGCAGCTGTATACTTATTGATTTCAAACTAACCATATCACTCATTTCAATGTGTTACTTGACTTGGCTGTATGTGCGTTATAGCTATATTATTCGATTGTTTACTTTGCTATATATGGGTTTATATGTTTAATTGTGTAAAATATTAACTCATCGTATATAGAGTGATTTGCATTGTAGACATTATCACTAAGATGGTGAATTTAAATGAATAAAATGTTTTACTGATGCTTGATTGGATGGGTTATTTTCACAGGATCCTGGCACCGTAGAACGCCATGAAAGAAGTCCGTTCATGTCCAACTATCATTACTATGATAATGATAAAGATGGCTGTAAGTGTCTAAAGCCTAATATAAATATTTGTAATTACGATTATAATGCATTTTATCAAGTACAATGCTTCAGTGAATGAATACCATCGGTAACGTATATATATATATTTTTTCAATAAAGTTGATCTATGTAAATGAATTGTCTGGTCAATGAGTGAATTGGAAAATTTTGGGATTTTGTTTAAATAAAACTGTTCAACAAACGTTCAAGCCTTTTGAACGCGATAACTGTCTCATGAATTATTGTTTGATTAAATTAAATTATACTACAATAGTCTAACTATAGAAATTTTAAAATCCTGAATGGATGACGCATCATCTTTTAGTAACCTGTCGTGTATGTAGTGGGATTGGTTCAACTACAACATTAGCTAACCATGTACACCCAGTAAATATAAAGTTAATATGTCGCCCAGTATAAATATTGCTTGAAGCAAAAAATGCAAATACCCACAATTTATATTGACTATGATGGTTGAGAAAATGATGGTTGTATTTTAGTGGATAGTGACCATTTTGGCAGTATTATAACGCTTTTACCACAGGTTACTGTGGTAGAGATATCAAAATATAGGATGTGGACATAGGCTCTGAATTAAGTTTAAAAAAGTGTAAAAATGCACTTTTTAACAATATATTCTTAGTTTATGGAATTGTTCTAAAAATAACGATTTTTGAAAATTACACAAAACAATGCTATTTCATGGTACCATTGGACAACAATTCCATGATTTTACATAATATACCAAATGAATGAACATTGTCAAGCGATTTATGACTTTCTCAAAAATTATGAGTAGGCTTCTACTTTAAGGCAGTTGGAGCGGAATTCTAAATTTACATCCTGAACATGTTACTGTACACACCTACATGCAATGCATATACCGGTAAACATTGTCATCCTAGAAACTGATTGCCAATGTTTTGAAATGTATAATAACAGAATTCGAATCAATAATAATATATATTTTCCATATCTGGTACCGTCGAGCACAATTGTGAAACATGAAAAACTAATTTCCCGTGAAACCTGTGTAAAAATTCAAATTTGACATTTCAGACTTTTGCATCTCGGAACACATTCCGGCAAGAGGCCACAATAATGAATTATGACATATATATAATCTTTAATCCAGCTCGAATCTCTTTGAGTACATTGACTCAGGAGTTTTGGTTTTCAATAGATATTAGTTGTGAGCAGGAATGTGGTGGGAAATTACTAGTTGATTGTAACGAAGAACCTGGCTTGACTGAGGTATACTGTTTCATTAAGCCAAAGTTTGGAAACAACAAGTGTTGTGTGTGTGAGTATCTTTATCAAAAGTCTTGCATTTTCATTTAAATTATTCTGTACGCAACTGCCGTCGACGTGGCACCGCGTTCGATATGAAGTCCAATGCGATATACATGTATATTACACGTCTAAAAAGCAGCGGTCTCTAGGCGACGACTTCGGAAAAAATGGCTGAATGACAAGGCCTTTATATCATACATGTTATCTGTGTATTCGCGCTGAAATTTGTTTTTGCAGTAAAACTTCTGTATAAAACATAATATTAAAAACTATTATATTTACATACTAACTGTTATTCATTGGCGCTGATTGGCAACTATATACTATGTACTATTTATCAGTGACATGCGAACCCTACTCTACTCCATCAGTACAAACTGCATCATCATAATTGAAATTTGCAAATTTACCTTTTATTCCACAAATATCTAAATAAGAGCTCAAGTCTTTGTGTTGTTTTCACACCATTGATTGCGTAGTAAAGTTTAAAAATGGCCATGAAAAGCCATTATCTGGCGAAAGCTTTTATTCGTCAATATTAATTCTTATCGGACGATAATACACAATTGTATGGCGAATAATGGCGAATAAAGGGACATTTCTTGTCTGTTTTGGCTGACAATTTTTCAGCAAGCGACTGTCATTCTAAACTTGGAGTATGTCGAGTTAGTGAAGGTAAAAAAGAAACGAAAGTAGCAGCGACCTGTCCAGCCGGACTTTCATGTTATGTCAGTAAGTGTCTCTTATACTTGCATGTGATTAATATATAATTACACAAACTAGAATAAATATAATGCGCAATAATTCGTAAATTCGAAATTCAACCACGTGATATTACTCTCCCATAACGACGTTAACCGAATACAGTACGCATACACGATAAGTAAATGTCACAGGTATTAAGTTGTCACATTCACTACTAAAATTTAAATTCAGGTATAAACGGTAATCATTAAATTGTGCATTGTTACAAAAGCCTGTGTTAGTCAGTGTTATACTGTTTAAATAATATAACATGTTTTAATCAATACACCATGTGTCACACAGAAAGCTGTAACGGTTGTGGTGGAACATGTAAGAGAAACGGATGCAGTAAAAACGAAGTACCATTTACAGGAAAAGTGTGCAAATGTCCCATCGGGGAAACTTGCTGCCTTAATAACGGTCTGTATATGGTAGTTAACATACAAACATACTCCTCTTCTGAAACATACTTTATTTATTTATAAATTATTTAGTGGTACTAAGTTTTATTATTCATAATGAATATTATGAAAAATATTTCAGTCGCTGCATATTTTTTAATTAATACAAAATATCAATTTAATTACAAGCAACACACATGAATTGCACCTTTCGGTCACAGCAAACGCGTTCCACACTGCGCCATATTGACTGTCCTGGATAGAATATCCTAAGCAGAATCTGGATTATATTAATACTCCCAATAAATGAGCCTTCTGGTTTTATTCACTCTTTGTTATCCGTATTCCGCAGATAATTTTCGCTGTCCCTTTCTTAATTTACAAATAATGTAGAAACTAAATTATAGAGATGATTCGCTGTGTTCATAACAT